ACAAAATGAGATTTAAGACAAATTATAAATTAAATGTGTCCTTTTCTTATTGCTTGGACAAAATACTATACGTTTCTTTGTGAAATTGAAATATAACACTGTAATAATTATAGCACTTGCATATTATTGCTCTTTTGTTGGTTTTGATTGCTTCTGTTGTCCTCATTTGTAAGTCGCTTTGGATAAAAGCGTCTGCTAAATAACACAATTGAAATATAATGTAAATGTAAATAACAAAACTGAATAGAAATTTTAAAACAAGCCCCAAATAAAATAAATAAGTAACACAAATAAAATAAATCTCTTCATATAAACAAACTAAGGCTTTGTCTGTGCTCTTTCCTTTTAAAATTAGAGGCAAGCACTGCATGTTAATCATGATCCAAACAAAGATGCTGCATGCATGCAACACGAGCAGTTTTTAATCTAAATTAGATTGTATCATTTCGAAATTTGAAGCAAAAACAGAATGGTTTGACTTCAGTTTTGTGAAACTATACATAAAAATATCTGCATGAAGCAGAAACAGCAGACGAGCTGAACGAGACGCAGATGAGACTCTCTGCCAGCAGGTGGCGCTTAAAGCGTTTCCTCGGTTACTTATAAACTCCTACCCCTAACTGAATCGCGATTTGTTCAGCATCTCAACCGATTTGAATCGTCACATATTTAAATCGATTTTTAACCGGCTCGCGGTTAATCGTTACATCCCTACTTATGATAGACCTCTGAGCTTTCAACTCAAGTCTTTATATATATATTTATTTATAGTAATATAAAAATAATAATGATAGACAGAAAAATGAAAAAAATGAATATTCACAAAATAATTATTAATATATTCATAATTAAATAAATAAAATAGTTTATAAAATGTATATTAATTTTAACATTAATCGTTTTATATAAAAAATAAATAATATATATATATATATATATATAATATGTGAATATTAAATGATATATTCATAATTAAATAAATAAAATAGTTTATAAAATGTATATTAATTTTAACATTAATCATTTTATATAAAAAATATATATATATATATATATATAATATGTGAATATTCAATTTTTTCATTTTTCTGTCTATCTATATTATATTTATATTAATATAAATCAAAACAGGCTGTTTGAAATGATTTGTGGAAATGAATCAAACTTGAGTATTTTTATTTTATATTTTATTATATTTTGTTTATTTTTAATTTAATTTTGTATCATTTTTGTTTATTTTTTATTTAATTAATTGTTTATTTTTAAGACATTTTTTATTTTATTTGATTTCATTTTATATTTTATTATTTTATTTTTTTATCTGTTAAATTTTATGATTTTATTAATTTTTTATTTAATTTATTTAATATTTTTTATTTTTATAATAACAAAAATATTTTTATGTTTAATTTTTTTTATTATATAATTTTAATGCGATTTATTTATTAAATTTTTGTTGTTTTTTATTATTATTATTATTTATTTATTTTATTTAAAATATCCCAATTATTTGTTACAGTGGCTTGAAACAGTAGTTGTTCCATGTACTATCTGTTAAATTTTATGATTTTATTAATTTTTTATTTAATTTATTTAATATTTTTTATTTTTATAATAACAAAAATATTTTTATTTTTATTTTATCATATAATTTTAATGCAGTTTATTTATAAAAATTTTTTGTTTATTATTATTATTTATTTATTTTTTTTTAATTTAAAATCTCCCAATTATTTGTTACAGTGGCTTGTAACAGTAGTTGTTTCCATGTATTATATTCACAAGGTCCTGTATCTTATTTCTTTAATAAGACATTTGAAGTTTTAAATAAGAATGAACAGCAAATGAAAATGCATGTGTTTACTGGCGGTTGTAAATCTGTATTGCTGGACAGTGAGTGCGGTGGCCCTCAGGAAGGCTTTGAGTGTGGGATGTTGGGGGTCTGAGTGCCAGGCTCTGCTCTTTCAGTCCAGAAATCTGAGCTCGGGCACCTGTCCCTCGTCCTGTCACTCCCTCCAAACCACAGCCCGCTATTTATAGAGCCGCAGCCTCTTGAGAGACACTTACGTATTGTTCAAGTGCTTAATCCTTGCCTCTCTGTGAGATTACAGTGGCTCTGTCTGTACTCGTTGTTTGTGTTTTGGGTGTTTTGGTGTAGACTATCCTAAAGAACATATTCACTTAAGCAGTACTGTTTACTTAATGGAGCTTTGTTTTCATTTAATTGAAAATTTTATTTTTAAATAAGGGACTGTGTTCAATAGCATATTTTATATATCAAATAGATTATAAAACATGTATAGAAAATGTTATTATTCATTATATATATATATTAGGATAATACATTCAATATATTTCTATAATAAATACATTTATTTTCTATTATAATATAATTTAATATAAAACAATTAATGTTAAAATTAATATACATTTTATAAACTGTATATTATTTATTTCATTATTAATATATTAATAATTATTTTGCAAATATTATTTTTTTTTATTTTTATGTCTATCTATATTATATTTATATTAATATAAATATATATTTAATATAATATTTTTATATTATTTGTATATACATTTTATAAACTGTATATTATTTATTTCATTATTAATATATTAATAATTATTTTGCAAATATTATTTTTTTTTATTTTTATGTCTATCTATATTATATTTATATTAATATAAATATATATTTAATATAATATTTTATATTATTTGTATGTTTTATATCAATTTAATTCTAAAATAACATTTAATTAAATATAACTATGTAATATCATATATATTTCAACTTTTATATAGGATATATTCAATAAGTGTTATTTATTGTTGTTTTATCCTTTTTACGTCATTGCAGATATTTTATTCCATTGCATTATCTGGCCTTGGGAACACGTTTTGTATGAGTTTTTGCTCCGGTATGGAGAATCCCGCAGTTTCTCTGGTATGATCTTCTGAGATGTTGGCATCATGACACCCAACAACACACGAATCGTTCATTAAAGAGCATCTGAGACCTTTATCAGAGCCCGGGGCCCTTCAGGTGTCCGTGAAGAAACATTAGATATATTAAGTCCATTAAGATTCTGGCTATAAAACAGCGGCATCAGCATCATGAGTTTAGGTCATGACTCGGGCGTCCTGGGGCACAGGTTGTCATGGTGATGTTGACAGGCCTGCTAGCTTGCTCTTCAAAGCTATGGCATTCTAGATTAAATTTCACACCGGCTGTGGCCACCGCGCCTCGCGGCCCTGTCCTAACGGATCGGCCCGTGCTTTTGAAGTGCGCTCGCAATCCGATTTGAGCCGGCCGTGCTAAATTGTTACACAGGCAGCCGGACGAGCTAATGTGATTTGGAGCATCGCGGGTAGTTGATTGTAATTGGATGAATTCCCGCGCAGAGAGAGAGATGAAGATAAACGAGGGAATAAAACGGAGACGGTGTTGTGCTCTTAATGGGACGTTATGAGGAAGTGTGCGCGGGGGGAAAAGGTGAAGCTGCTTTACCTCTGAGCTGCTGGGGATTATGGGATGCGATGATGGCTTTCGAACGGCCCTTTCGGCTCTCTCTGACCCAGCGTCTGTTCATCAAACCGATCATGAGCTGGTGTTTATATACCTGAGGCTTTAATTTGGGAAACACATGCACTATTAGATTTCAGACTGAATCACTCCAGACTTTTTGCAAGTTTTCTAAAGAAAATGTGATTGGTTAGTGTTTTTGGTTCCTCTGGTTTACTGTAATGAACTGGCCAGAGAAAGAGCCGGGGCTTTTACGCTCTTATAATGAGTCATATTTGACCGCAAAGTCAAAAAGAAAAGATATTCTGTTTTAATAAATGACGCCTTTTTTATGACCTTTAATATTATTTGCATTACAACATTATTTCCATGACAGTTAAACACTTTACCTAAATAATTCATATTTATTTATGTATAATACATGTATGTATGCATAATACAGTAAATATATAATATTAGTTATGAAGTTATTAAATATTATAAAAAAACAATAAAAAAAACAACATATACTGTATATATAATATTTAAAAAAAAGTTATTATATGAGTTTTTTCATGAAAATAATGTCACAAT